CATTTCACTGCAGAAAATCCCCACTCTCTCGATACTGCTCTGTCGGGTCGATTGTGTGTGCTGAACTTGTAATTACAATGTTTACGACAGCACTTGAAGGCAGCGCTGGCTACAGTGGACAGGCGAGAGAGGCTGGTGGTTGTGGTGCTCTGCCCGTTTGGCTGACATTTTCCTGCACACTGACACGAAGCATAACACCACTGCTGTTATGACTCACTTACTGAACAGACTCCACTTTGTGGTTTTATGGTGAAAGAATGTGAACACATTTTGGTAGTTTTCTCCCCCTTCATTCTTCTTTGGACAGTTGTCTCTGGTGAATGGTACTACTTGTAGCATAGTTTTTCTTCTTTGAGCAAGTGGCTTTATTGGGTTGATCATAAAGTGATAATTCAGATTATCTCCATTTGCATTACTATTTGCCGTTGCAGCTGCCTGTTTAATGAGCTCTGAAGAAGATGTAAGGCATTTTTTGTGCCTTCATTGGGGTTTCTTTTGAAGTTATGGGTTCCGATGTGTGATTCACTAAACTGCAAAGAGTTGTGTTAACCCGCTCACATGAAACTGACCAAATTTGCATTAACCTTAGCCAAAAAATGCAAACGCACACTTGTTAGTTTCATGACAAGGTTAACCGGGGGGGAGAGCTTGCTGGCAGGAAAGGAGACAGAAACTTGGTGGGAGAGGAGCATCTGTGACAGGATTTGAGCAGCTTCACCTGTTGTCTCATATCTTGAAAGCCAGAAAGGCAGCTGTTTGAACACACTGTTCCCCATTCAAACCATGAGCTGCCAGAGGGAAGGTGAGCAGCTGGCAGAAGCAGAGGTCATAACCCCCCTCAAACTATGCGTCACCTCAAGGAAACTTCTTACTTATATCCAGTGGCTTCGGCCTTAGACTCCCAGCTAATGTGGACGCGTGGTTGTTGGCTTTGGCATATGAAAGATAAAACCTCTCCCGGCTTGCCCTGCTGGGACTTTTTTTATACGAAGTCGCTCACATACCTGAATGTTTACCAGACGCAGCCAGGAGAGAAGACTGTGCGGTTTCATGGCACGTAAAATGTTTGAGGGACATAGTACACTCGGCCTGGGAAGCATGAGTGTCGGTGGGGAAAATACACAGAAATCTTTGGCAGTGAGTTTTTACACACAATCTGTAACTAATTTATTTAGACAGGACAAAGAGCACAATAGCATAAGGCACATTTTATCCTTGACGGAGCAATCTGACGTGTGCAGTTGTTGTTGGAAAGGGTTTTTAGGTCTTTTTCTGGTAATATGTGGTAATTGTCACATTTTTTTTACTTAAGACTTCCAGATTTGAGCTGCATTGCATCTAAGGTCACATTTCTCCAGTGTGATTTATCACTTTAGAATAAGCTGCAAAGATGCAGATAGATATATAATTATATTTCTAAGAAGTATTAATTTTAAAAGCATGTTTAAACATTAACCAGCATTCAGCTTAATAGTTGAGAGCTTAGTTGTAGTTTCTTGTATTAGTCATGTCTTAAAGATGCACTCAATTGAGTTATCTCTCAGGAACACGTTTCATCCTGATAATGACATTCATATGTTTTGTTTTCTGTCTCAGTCTCTATTTAAAGTTAAAAGTTCACAAATGCAAATATAAACAGAATGTTCCAACAGTGGCATTTGGCATCATTATGTTGTTTGCAGAAGAATTGATTCGGTGCATCCGATATGAATCAGCTGTAGAAATACTTGGCTTGCTAACTTCAAGCAAAACCTATGCTGCTTAAATCATGGAGAAAAGCGTTATTCTAGTAGACTCTAGTGTCTCAAATAAACTCATCAGGAGGAGACGCTTGTATTTTTAAAAAGAAGGGTTACGGTCTCACAGTCCAATTTTGCCTTTAAATCAACTCAGACCAAAACAGAACGGAGCGAGTCTTCAACCCAAACGAATATTGTTGTCACCGCAGAGTTCGTATGAGTTTGCAGCAATTTTCTGATTCGCTGAACAATTTTGCTCTTCTATTTGCAGGGAGCAAAGATTATTGATGAATATAATTCAATTAGTTACATTAGTCTTCTTCAGCATACATATGGCAGACACTACATTTCCTCGAGGTTTTTTCCTTTGTCGCCCTTTCTTCTGACCTTTTTTACGCTCGTAGTCCCGTCAATTACGATTTCAAGGGCAGTTTTCTGACGGTGTTTTCAAACTGTTTTCTTTGTACGTTTTACATTTGAATTACCAAGGAGAAGATTGTGTTGCTAAGTTTAGATCAGCGTAGTGTGGGTGTCGATATCTAGCCCTACTTAGAAAGGAGCCCTTTTTTATGCACCTCGACCTCCTTTGCAGAAAAACTACAGCATACATGCGGATGTCCTGATGCTATCACAAACCGCCTCAAAAAAAGTCATGACTTGGTACGTAATGTAAGATGAGAAGCCTGCTGCTCCTGCTGGCTGGCAGCACGGCAGCAACATTAATCAGTATTTCTGCTCTGACTGCTGCAACAGTGGCTAAAAATCAGCAATGAACCAGGTCAAACTGGGTGACCACAGGATCCGGTCAGCTGCTTTACTTTGCCTTGTGTGCACAGTTACTCTGCACAAGCCATGGATAATTACAAGCCGCATGCCCGTGCTCTCAGAGTACTATTTTTGCAGGTCACATGACACTGTGCTGATGGTTAATTAGACTGTTTGACTTTTTAATGTCCATACATTTGTGGAGATGCATATATAGTCTTTCTCTGCAAAAAGATCTGGGCAGCACGGCTCAGTTAATCACCATGGCAAATGTTTATTTTTCTTAATTTTTGAGTACTCTAAACTGTTATTGACAAACTAGATTGTAGCCATTTAATTTTCACTTAAATAATCATTTAATTTTGCTGTCGTTTCAGGAGAGATTACAGCTTCTTAACTGCTACACTCAGATTTAATTTGGTCAAGAGTGTTTGCATTGTTCTCTTAAATGTAATTTCCACATAAAAGGTGTTTATTTAACAGGGTTCTTTAACCCTTTATATACATGTGAAAGGCTTTATTGTCATTTAATGTCAGGCAGTTACTCTCTTAACATGACCCCCCTTTCTAAACAGCAGTTTAGATCTCACTTGTAATGGTAATTGGTGTCTTTCTCACTTTGGTCATTCAATTATCTGTCAGGGTTATTCTGCACATCAAATTAAATATATGTCACAGAGGATGTTTAAGACAAGGGGGACTTCTGAGTTTGCAGAGTAAAAGAGAGAAAAAATTTAATTTACATGAAATCAGTTAAAGTTTTTTTTTTGTGAAATGGGCTGCAGGAAAAGAAAATAGTAACTGCCGCTGTTATTTGAATAAAGACGTGCTTTCAAACTGCGGTATCGGTACTTTGGGAACAGCTTGATTCATGCTTTCAGTGTGCCGCTCATACTTCAGTTCTTTAGAGATAGTTATAGAGGAGAGATTAAATCTGATTTACACTCAAGAGCAACACCTTTTTAGCAGATGAAATGAAGAATGTCACTCAGGACTGGACAGGGTCATTGATATGATGGGGGTGTTCGCCTCCTAATTGTCTTATCAGCGCCACTTATGATCTGGTTTCACAGTTAACCGTTATTTACACCCTCCCTCTCTATTGTGCGCGCAGATGTTTCCGAGCAAGTTGCAGGTGTAAAGTAGTGCTTCTCACACTCCAGCAGGAAGGAGCAGCCTGGCTGCTGCAGCTCTGCTGCTGCTCACAGGCCGACCGCTGCTTTTTCAAACCCGGAGCTGGTAGACGGGTTGTATTTCAGCTTTTGAATTCCACAAAAAGCACATTTACCAAAGATGATGGTCTTTTGATTATGCGCCCAGACAACCTTTGTTTGTCTTTGATTGGATGCAACTTGAAGCCTTTTTCTGCTTTCCAAGGGCTGTTTACTTTATTTGCTTGTGCTGGCAGTGGCTCATGCTTACTGTTTATCGGTAGAACACATAATACATCTACAGTACTTCCACAGTATTATGTTAAATAATATTTCTACAGGGTCTTAGAAATAGCTGAACACAGTTGCAAACTTGTCGTTGTGGTCCACAATTGCTCCAGCTGATGCCACACAATACCTTTTAAAGTCCCCAGCCCCTCCACTTCCATTCCAACGAACATCACAAATCTATCAGATTATCCTTAGTCAGGCGAAAGATCACTGCTTCGACACCACCATGGGTAATCATTTGTTCAGGCTCGGTGCCTTTGCACTTGAGTTAAGATATCCGCTGAATTGTAATGGATTAATTGGTTGGGTATACAGGGGACGGCTCGCTAACTCAACCTGAACCGAAAAGAGCTAAACGGCTGGGAAATTAACCGCCCATGTTCTCACAGATTAGTTGAAATGTCTACAGGGATAAATTGAGAATCAAGATTGTGGGTGTAATGGATATGTACGCCTAAGGCGTTGTGTATGCTCAAAAGTAGTTGGCATGTATATATGTGTGCATGCGTGTTGGTGGACATGGGTAGTCTGTCGGCACTTGGCTGATAGGCAGCACTAGCCAGCAGTGGAGCGTAATGTTCCTGCTTTAACACTTAATAACCCTGCTTGTGATTTACTGCCTATGAGGCTTTCTACTGTGTGTTATGTTTCCTCTATAATAGCCAGACGGCATTTATAAAAATTCCCCTCTCTCCAGCACTCAGCAATAATGAGGATTAAGGTGCTGAGACCACATTTACAAGCATTAGTTTTTCAAATATGTGTTTTGAACATGATGTTCGTGGTGATATTGAAAGCACCTGAAGCTGGCTCAGAGTCCCCTACGGAAACGGTCGAATTTACTTAGCTTATTTCAGATTTGCCTGGACACAGTGGAGGAGCGTTTTTGTGTTTAGCATGTTGTTTCCATCCACCTGTTTCTTTCTTTGTTTTCTTCTTTTTTTCATGTTTGACAGCATGGGATCTAGTTATAGATTGCCAGTGCTTTGAACTGGATAACTGCTTACTCTTAAATCTGTCTGGCACTGGTGAACTTGGAGGTTGTGATTGGACCCTGAACCGGCGACTCCACACTAACTTGTCTCTTTTCCCTTCCTCCCAACCCATACAGGCGGACTTGACAGGGATCAAATGGAAGAGGTTTGTGTGGCAGGGTCCCACCTCTGCTCCCATCCTCTTCCCGGTGACGGAGGAGGACCCCATCCTATGCAGCTTCAGCCGCTGCCTGAAGGCAGACGTGCTGAGCGTGTGGCGGCGCAGCCAGCGGCAGGGCCGGAGGGAGCTTTGGCTCTTCTGGTGGGGGGACGACCCCAACTTTGCTGAACTCATCCATTCCGAACTTGCCGGTAGGTCCTACTTGGCATATAATGTCACTTTAAGAAACAGCTGTTTCAGTAGATTTTCTTTATGATGTCCTCTCTCTTTATTGAGGCGGGGGTCAGCTTTTGAGCAATGCCCGGGTGCCTGTTGAGATTCAGTGGAACCAAATAACAGATTAAGTTCATTTTCCCTGCTGCTGTGAGATGAATTTCTCCGGCAAAGGAATATTTCTTTGTACATAAAACCTGCAGTGAACCTCTTTAAGAACCAGCCAAGGTTAAGATGCTGTAAAAGACGGATGGTTGTGAAGGACGAGAGAAGCGTAAAGAGCTCAAGGCTTTAGTAAAGGAAACACTTGAACATAGATCACCCTGTCAAGATATGTTATTGATTGCAGAGTGCAAATTGTTTCACTCTGATTGTCAGGCCAGCACCGGAGGGATGCCCCGTAAGTGAGAACCGCAGGGAGGTGTTATCTGTGTAATCTGATGCCTCCCCAATGCCCCTGCGCGTACCCTCCGCTGACTGCGCCAGACTGGTAGTGCCAATATCTACAGGGCATCTCCTTTCCTTGGAGACACTCTGCATCACACGGGGTTATTTTTGTATGCGTGCTTGTGAAAGGGTTAAAAGACATTTAAGTAGGGGCTGCGTTAGGTTTGAAGCGGTGCCTTGTATTTTAGTTTGAATAAAGTCGGAACTGAGGTCACGTGTCGCTGCTCTACAGAGGATGAGCCAGTGAGGAAGGCTGGTCTCAGACCTACCATAACTTGAGTGAGAAGCACGGCATGCGCGAGCAGCCATGCAGAAATTAGGCAAATGCCCCACCCCCCCGCCACACACACATAATTTCTTCATTTCCCCTGCATTCAAAGATGGAAAAATGGCATCTTTACGCTCTCTGCTGTTGGTGGAAATTCTCCTTTTTCAGGGCAACGCAACCCGTCTGTGACCCGGTGTCATTATGGGACTTTCTGCCTAAAGTGGACTCAAAATGGGAGCTGAAGGGTACGATGGGCAGCTCATTCAAGCCTAACAGGTCCTGGTAATAACCTGAAGCGGTTGGCTCAGGCCCTCTAATGGGGTGTGCTACATTTCAAGCGGGAGGGGCTGGGATGGAGACTCTAAATTTGGAAGTTGTTGAAGATGCTGCTGTGTTCTCACTGCTGCTTTTGGGGAGTTAGACCATGACATTTGCTGGGTTTCAAGAGATATAAATTCGGTCGTTGAACATTTGCCTAAATTGCACTCACAAAAAGATTCATCATATCTTACAGGTCTTTTGTCAGGGTTCATGTACGATAAGTCTTGAACTTTTTAAAATACGCTTTTATGTTTATTTTGAGTCCTTCACCATCCAGAATTTTGCACCTTCATGCTTCTGTTTAAATGTTTCCATGTGAACAGTTCCTGGCCATATTCCCCCTTTTCATCATGCTCTGCATCCATAAAACCCCTTGTTAAGACACTCCCCCCTCTGATGGATGCCATTGAAATGAAGCAGAAGAGCCCCCATAATAGCCCCTTTGGACACATGCCAATAAGATGCAAGCTAAACATGAGTGGATGTTTCTTGCCTGTCTTGGTTTACTTCAATACAGATCACTTCCAAGTCTTTTCTGAGGTTGTATAGCTCTGCTGGTCTATCATTAAAACTGGTAACAGGTTGGATGTGAGACAACTGTTGACAGAAGAGTAACTGACCTGCACTTGTCCCCCTTAGAAATGGGATAATTGATTGATTGTGTACTACATTTTTTAAAATCTTCTGGGTGCTCTGCTTGTGCAGATTTAAATTCATGTAATCCAAGCAGTTTTTATTGCAGGACTAGAGTGCGATTGATGCACCCAACTGTTGATGCTTTTCAGCCACCACGACTTGCCAATAGCTTGATGGGTGTTTTGCCATTGGCCCTGGCCTCTTGGGAATTTTAGATGGTCCTCATTTTCTTTTTCGTACGTTTCATCCCCTTTAGAGTGTTTAGCGCAATGTTGGCGGTAAACACGAAAATCCACTCTTGTCCTTTGAATTCGGCTGCTGAAATGGTGCTCGCTCATTCCCCACACCCCCTTCTACCCTCATTAGATTAGCAGCCTGTGAAAGTCTTTTAATTTTGAGCAAGTGCCATTTGTGTGTACCAGTGTGCCAGTAATCCCCTCTCTCTGGGGAGATGAAGGGAGCGGGAGTGAGCTGGAGAGATGGGAGTGGTGAAGGGCAGAAAACTTAAGGGATCCTTTAACTTCACACTCTTAATCACCATTGAAGGAGTGCATGAAGAGCAAACCACCAAGCCCCTTCTCTACACTGTTAGACAACCTGCAGAGTTCACGCTAGCAAAAAAAAAGAAAACCAATTCTAATCTTCCCCTGGCCATGCACAGAAATTATTCCCAACAAGTGAACACCATCTCTGAATTAAACAGTGTGCCTCCCCCATCTCTGTGGTTGAGTATAGGCGTGTATTCTTATGTAAATGACATGCTCTGTTCATCGTCCTCTTTCCTCAAAAGTCTCCTGACCGGGGGCATCTAACATGAAAGATAAATGGCTGCCTTTTTCTCCTCTCTGTCTCAAGAGTTTCCCCCCTTTTTTTTCATTAAAATTAGCCCCTGATGTCAGTCTGGAAGGGTAATTGGCCATTGCCACATTTTTTTTGGAGTTCTTACTATTTGTTGCACTTGCTCTTGGATTGTTAGCCCCATGAGATCTTATGGTTGTCTTAACACTGCTTTTCTCTCATGGGTTTTTTCTCTGTTCCCTCACTTAAATATTATCCTGGACTGATATGCTCTACGTTTGAATTACCTCTTATATTATGTTTAGGAGAAACCTCAAGAAAAACATGAAACATATTAGGAATCATGTGAATATGTCCCTTTAATCTTGTCTTGTAAGACACACTCTTTCTGCCTGTCTATGTAAGAGAGCTGAGATTATTAGATGTGAAGGGGAAGGTCGAACGGGAGAGATAGTCATCTATTGCCCCGAACACCAGTTAGCGGTATGCTGTGTGCTCGCTGGCCATTGGAGTCCCCACATCTATTCATTATAGGGTGTTGGAGCCAATCTCTGGAGACCATCAGAGGTATTGTGGGGGATGGGATAGTGTCCATCTTCTCCACAAGTTGATGAACACTTGTTTGAGACGGTGGGGGGAAGGAAAAGCTGGGGTTTGACAGCAGTCTTCTCCCATGTGTTTTTGGCTTTGCCGAGATTCCAGTAAATTGCTGAATAGCAGGTATAAAAACAAGAACAACCTTCTGTTTGTCTTGTGACCTGTGTGCATTTGAATCTGCGGTGAAATAGAAATAACTGTCTCTCACCTCAGGGCAGAAGATCCAACTCTAAAGGGCATATTTCAGTAGTCTGACAGACATGGCTGTTGAAAGTTTCACTTTCTTACACGTCCCTCTGTTCTTTGAAGATCTTTCAACTTGAAAGGTATTGAACTGCCTTCACATCAGCAGTGTATGCTGTTTGAGGCTCCACTTGTATTATACAGATGTTTGCTGACAGCAGATGTACTGGTAGACCACAGCTAATCATTACCAGTAAACCACCTCAAGGACTCCTTACCCGGTATGAAATAACCCGGAGATGAAACTAGAGGAGGACGTTTTGAACACGGCAAAGCAGCCCGGGCTCTGTTCTCTCTTATGTGTTTTTGGTTTTGCAGTCCTCAGTATTTGTTTTAGGGACAGTCACATGTTGGGGCATGGATGCCATTCAGGCTTTCCCTGCTTTTTGGGGTATAATATTGTCTTGTCGGAATGTAAAACAGGTTCAGTATGAAGACTGTGAAGTGAGATTTTGAAACCTAGGCTCACCTGTGACTGTAACATCTTTAATCTTTCAGGGAAATGTCTAACATCTGGTTCTTGGATGCCTGACTCGGCACTTTGAATCCCGTTTTACAGATTGTACCGGCATATGTGCTCCTTTGAATAGTGGCAGAAGTGATGACACACGGCGGTGGCTGCGGTACAGATTGAGTGCCATGATTATGTAACGCCTGTTGTAAGCAGCATAGCCCAGTGGATGCCCCAGGCAAGGATTCAGAGAGGAGAAATGCCACTCACTTTTTAGACCTTCCAAATATTATTGACTTGGACAACCTGTGAAAGTCAAACCGAATATTGAATTCTCCACACTTGATCTGTAAACATGGTGGACAGAGTATCTAAGCTTAGTTTGCCCCCTTCAGCTGAATTTGCACGGCTGGTGATGTGTATCAAAGGCATTTTGATACAGTCGGTTAGCCGTAACTCAGGATTTTAGGTTATTTCTTCTTTTTATCCCCCTTCAAAGACCATTCTGAAGAGCAGTGTGTAATGCAGAGATTGATGAATAGATAAACCCCGACACCTCTTGGGGAGGGGGGTGGGGGGAGAGGCCAATGGCTTTTGTGCTTGGGGATCAATTTTCCAGGGCTAATCTCCTGCCTGTGAACCACCCTCTGCTTTCCTCTTTTCCTCCTGCTCCATCTCCCTCTCCCGCGCTCTCTGATGGATCTCCATTGGCTGGCGCAGCGCAGGGACTCGGCCATGCATGCAGCTCTGGCCCATGGGTGTAGTCTCCTTTTCTCCCCTTCTATCTCACTCTTTTCCCTCTCTGCTCGGGAAATATTCATTAATTAGTAATAGAGACTTTACAGAGAGTTCTCCCTCCCTGGTGTTGCAGATAAGTGGGGATTGGAGGATGAAGTGGAGGAGAGGAGAAAACCTTCTGACCAGACTTGGTAGAATCCCCTGTGCACGGTTGATCAAAAGACATTAATCTTTCTGTTTAATAACTGACTGCTGCTCTAATTGCATACACACAAATGAGCAGCTGTTGAAGTTGGCACGCCTTAAAATATTTGTAATTTAAAAACCAATAAAATGTGTCCGGTCCATGTTGATTGTCTATCTTTGTGTGGAGGTTATGAGGAGGGTGTTTGTTGCGTTCCTGTGCTTCTCCATAGAGCTTTGTGCTGCTCCTGTTCTAAAGGTCAGCTCATCTGGGTCTGCTTCACAAGAGGCTACATGAAAGTGTCCCGGTCATCACCTGAGCCCATAAATCTTTGTCTAAATGAGGCTGCTCATCTTTTACCCGTTGCACTGCTAACTCCCCTCCCATTTAACACCCGCCCACCACACCCTGGAAATTCCGGCATCCAGTAAAGCATGTTAAAAACAAAATGATTTGTATGAATTTTGCTTACTGTTGTAAATATTTAAGGACTTGCTGCATCTATGCATGTGTCACAGTTGTGAACCAAAGATCCTGTGTCATGTGTTGGAATATGGGGTTGACTACATGCATAAATGGGGAGTGGATCATTTCTTGTCCAGTTCGCTTCAGGGTTATTTCTGCAGACTTAGAAAAAATAAATTGTACCGTGGCGTGATTCCTGCAGAGTCTGCGGTAAAGGAACAGCACTAACGCTTCATGGCAGAAGTGACAGAGTTTTCTTTGAATATTGCAGGAGTGTAAAGTAGTTACCTATTCAGGCGAGCCTCATAAGCTGCTGCACGTTGAGATGCTTGATGTGGATTAGCTTTAATTCCACCTAAGGCTTCTGTTCTTGCTTTTGTCCCAAAGAAAGAAGGCTAATGGCTGTTACTGCAGGACCTGAGCTGACAAATGCAATAAGGTCAACAAACCTGCTTTGGGAATCAAATTTTTAAGTGTTTTGGAGTAAGTAGTATCTTTTCCCCTGAAAGCACTACAGTTGTAAGCTTGTGGCTATGCGGAGACATTTGGAGAATCCATTAAACACTGCAAACTCCCATCTGCCCTGGAATCACATTTACCTTGGATGACACCCACCCCCCCTTCCTTTTTCCCTTCTAAACGGTGGAATACTGTAATTTTTTGTGTCATTTTGTTTACACAGAAACAAAATGCTGCTCTTGACTGTAACTTTGTTTATGTCTGAAGTGTGGAGTGCTGCAGCTGGCTTTGCACAGTGAACATGAGGTTGTTAAGAACATATGATGGAAACCAGACGCCTGTTTTGGAGCTTCTCATTGGTGAAGGGAGGGGCTGAGGAGGAGCAGGCGACAGGGAGGACCACGTACGGGGAAGATGTGGTCTTGGCAGGAAGAGGCAGTTGATTTAAAGTAGGGAGGTTTCTATTGGGTCACATCTCGGCTGCATAGGGCTGAAGAAGGTCTGGAGGTTTAATTGCTGGTTTTCTTGCCATAAATATGAGCTGTGACTGCTCTCACTGTTCCCCGGTCTGTTTAACATTATCAGACATGCTGATATGCCTGTTGCATCATAGATTTGGCCTTTCCTCCTCCCCTTTTATTTTTCCCTAATGTTCCTCTGGGGGCTAAGTTTCTTTGCTTGCTGACTTTTTGCCCTACTGCTTGCCACATCTCCCAAGATCGCCACACCAGCTGCTAAATCACTCAATTCTAGGCATGCTTTCATCAGAAGGACTAATTTCTCCTAAGTTTAGTGGCTTTTTTGTTTTTTTGTTTTGCAGTTGCTGTAAATTTCTAATATGGAAATTGCAGTTTTCCTTCTCTTTTCCTGCCTTTGTGGTATGTTTGCACCTGATGAATTGGTCTGTTTCTCTTGAAATTGCCGGGCATGTAGCCTCTGTTTCTTGGCTGCTAGCCTGAGGCTGTTTTTCCTGTGGGTGGTTGTAAAGCTTTAGAGGCTAGCTGAAGTTGCTGCCTCCTAATAGTTACTGCATTTTAAAGTGTGTTGAATGGAGCTAGAATTAGATACACCCTTTTATTTACATTTCTCCATCAAATGTGGCTCTTTGCTTTCACTCAGGAAAAACATAAAAACTCCCAACATTCCCTAAAACAAGTCTTTCATACCTGCCAAGATGGCACGGGGCCTATAAAGCCTCTCTTTTTCAGAGAGGGAAACCAAAGCAATTTCCTGTGTTGATAGCCTTGCAATCATACAGATTTAAATTGCCGTCACCTGCCTCCCAATTTCGACAGCGGGCCAAGGGTTCTCTTAATAATTAATTAAAATTTGGATTAAGTCACTTCTGGGCTGGCTTATGCCTCCTTGGCACACGGCAAGCTGACACCAAGGGTCGGCCACACTGTATTTATTTAGTCTGTGCTCATGCAGAGACAGCACGCTTGGGGAGATGTTTGCTGCAGACTTGACTGAAAGGAGCTTAACTGCTGTAAGATGTGAGCAGTGGCTGTTAATGAGATTAGACTAGCATTCAGGCCAGCACAGAATGTGATTCAGAAAGCAAGTCTGATACGGACCTAATGGCACAGTTCTTTATCCCATGCAGCTTGGCTGAGTTTTGTGGGGGGATTTTTTTTGTTGTTGTTTTTTTGGACATCGGCATGAATCAAATTGAAAAAAACAGACATGCATGAAGCATGCAAGCGGGCCCCGAGCTTTGTCAGTTCTCAGTTGAATTTCATTGGCTAAACTGTGGTAGTCTTACGTTGTTCTTTTCCCACCGTAGCAAGTTTAGGATTGATGCTGGCAGGGGTTGGCTCGTCCAAAGAGCTAGTTTGCTTTTGCACAGCCACGGAGACACTGCAGTGCCGCATCATTCAGTAACATTAAACTTTTCCACCAATACATATTTAAATCTCCTAGTTTTATCTACATTTCTGAAGAAGTATACAGTGCTGCAATAGTTTATTTTCCCAACAGGTTGAAGAGTTGGTGTAGTTTCTGGTGTTTATGAACAATGATACAAACAGGATTTGTATGAGCTGTTTTCACATGCACTGCAAACGAACCCCAGACCATTTTGATTGGCATGGCCCTGAAAGCCCGGTTCGGACATGTATTTGAAAAGGGCGACTGTGAAAGTAACTTTTTGCATTGCTTTCACGTAGCCAGCTGGTGGTTATAAAACGTTAAACAGGTACATTTAATAGTCAAAGACTGCATCGGAGTATCTGGATGTGGAAAGAGGCAAAAAATGACTGGGCCTTCAAATCAGGGACATTTCACGTACAAGTGTGAACACATCAGATTGGTTTTCATGCTTCACGAACTCAGGATGCTCATACATGTGCAAATAAGTCCACATCTGTTAGTTTTTCTGTGATCTTAAACGACATATTACTGACCATTTGCAGGTATTTGAATGCGTAGCTCCGAACAGGAATATGAAAAGAAATGAATGTTTTTTCCCTTCTTTAGTGACAACACAATCAGGATGCCATTGAACACTGAGTTTTCTGTTCTTTCACTCTCTTAAACTTGGTGTGCGTAGGAGCAGAAAGCATCTGAAACCTCCACAGCCTGAAAGCAGGCAACAGCAGGTTTCTACTTAACCTCTCTCTGTCTCAGTGAACACACTCTTGTTTTCGTTTACATGGCCTGCCGGCCGTCTTCTCGTAATGTCACGATAAATTAAAAGCTTTTAGTTTTCAGGAAATGTACAATTTCTCCTCGTTAAAGCCTGCTGATCTTCAAGCTAATCAGGTTCCAAGAAGTAACAGTTTCCCAATTTTTCCGCATGTACACATGAAAAATAAATGCACAAAATAGCTGTGTGATTATTAGTCACGCTGTTAGGCTGTTTCAGGCTAATGATGGTGTGCGTTTTTTCATTTCCATTTGGAAAGCGTTCAGTTTGCTACTGTAAAAAAGCTGCCGAATCTTCAATTCGGGCTGTTCTGAGCCTAAACATTAATGCTGGGTGATCATTTCTTATTTTCATTTAAAACTTTTGCCGCTCCTTTATGTCATCTTGTAAACACTGACGAATCCCCTCATTATTGAAATTCTGTTCTCTGCTCTGCTTCTACTCCAAACAGCAACAACATTTAACATTTATGCTCTTTTAAGACTAGTACATCTTTAGTTCGTAGCCTTACATTTGAAAAATTAAATAAAATTGGCTGGAGAGCTCTCCTAGCTTGCCAGGTGTTCTCATCTCTGTATTTCTGTTTTCTTTCCCAGCCGAGGATGATGGCCTGTGGGAGAACGGCCTGTCCTACGAGTGTCGTACTCTGCTCTTCAAAGCTATCCACAACCTGCTGGAGCGCTGCCTCATGAATCGCAGCTTTGTTCGCATAGGAAAGTGGTTTGTGAGACCCTACGAGAAGGATGAGAAGCCCATCAACAAAAGGTACGTGGCACTGTTTCTTTTCTTATGGTAGCTGCTCTGTGGAAGAACCCCCCCCTCCCTGCCTGCTTCCCTTGCTTCTGACTATTTTGAAAAAGATTTTAGCTTTGTTGTATCTTTTTTTTTCCGACTTGGACGTGACCTGGTGCAGTTAAGGCTGCTAATCTCACAGTCTGTTAACATTTGACTGGAATGATTGTCTTTGGTTGAGGCAGCTCCTAAATCCTTCTGTCCGCATCAGTGATTTCCTGTTATTCTCTTTATTAGATCATGGCAGTGATTATTTTATCATATTTGTATTTGATCTTTTTTAATCTAATTCTGACCTGAACAGTGCAAGTCGTATCCCCAGCAGGAATAACAAACGGTACATCAAATCTTTAAGTCTCTCATAGGAAATACTGACATATCGCTTTCTTTGTGGGCTTCTCCATATCTCTGGTGTGTCGGATGAAAAACGGCAGGATGTCTGAAAAAGTTTTGGTTTCTTATAGAGTTGCAGTTCATCACTGAACACGTCAGAAGCTGCAACAGAGAAACATCTGTTTGATTAAACATTACAACCTGTTTGATAAATGCTGCCCTGCAAAACGATCTGTCTGGGGCGACTGTGCCGAGGCTGATACTTTGGGGTGTGGTTGGCCTGGAAAAAGTTGTGAAAATGCACGTAAAATAAACAGGCATGCAACAAGCTTTGATGTTGGCCAGCTCATGTTTTTCTTTCTGTCCTAGAACTCTACCTTTTTTTAAAAAACAGAATATTCCGCTCTTCCTATTGTTGCACAGAGACGGCTCCTGCGTGGCTGGCTGCAGTCAGCCCAGTATTTCTTGTCCAGTCGACGTAATGGCTCATTTGGATGAAAATGATGCCTCAGTACAACTGGAAAGATGTGTCATTTGTGTTTTAACAGCGTTTCCCTCGTGGGCTGTGATGATACAGTCTGCGCTGTGGTAAAAAGCACCCTGAGGCTGGTGTGTTGGTTTGGCTGGCACTGTGTAAGGTCATGGTTTAACAAGCTGAAAACTGGCAAGCTCTCCAGCCGTTCGATTGGTTAATCTCTGCTTGCTTGCTTGCATATTGATTATTGATTGTCTGGTGTTGATTAGTTTTATGTGATTGGCAGTTAAATTGTGGAATTATTGCAATCATCATGCAGGTTATTTATTTAATGATTAATTTAATCTGCTGAATGATTATTTTCCCCTCCTGAAAAAAGCTGGGACGGCCCCCTCTTGTGTTTCAGCTCTGGACATGATTAAAAAAAAGAACAGCTGTGAGAGTACAGGATTTCTAAACGTTCTAAGGGGCTCCCTGCTTTTCCCGCTGTCATACTGAGCTGGATTTTGTGTAGTCGGTGTCTAGTTTATTGATAACAGATGGAGCACGCAGCTTGTTAGGAAAATGTGGCAGTGGCCGTTTTTTTTGTATACATCTTTACTTTGTCTCCATATTGACCAACTGTTACAGAGCCTTTTAGGTGATTGTTTTGCAAATCAAAGTCACTATAATGGGTGCAACAGGTCTGATGAAATCAGTGGAACGACTGCAGGGCAGGTTGGATGAGAGCATTAATTGTGGGGGAGCGAAAGCCACATAATCTCTCAGGGTTATTAACTTTTTAGTTAGCACATTTCCTCCTCTATTTGCTTGGCATGTGTGTGTTGTTGCTGAACAGTTGTTTTGTGTTGTTGCCAGACTTTTCCAGCGGCATGTCGTTGGGACATTTGTTAGTTTACTGAGTTATTTTTTTGTTTTGGGTCAAGGTGGGAAAAAAGTCTCTGGATTTGTCATTAACTGTGAAGAGCAGCGCTGGGCGCTTTATAGACTTTGCATCCTTAATCAGTGACTCAAATCTGAGGATTCTTAAGATACGTCTCTCAGTGTAATTATCTAATGAAAGACAAAGAATGCAGAGGATCAAACTGGGTCACTTAAGTGGTCCACATGCTCCTTTTGTTTTGTTTTTTGTGTGTCCATACCAAGTGTGCAGATCACAGAGGGCCTCAGTCAAGGGGGAAAAAAACCAAAACAATGGTCTTTTCCTCTGCTCTGGAATTCACAGGCCACCCTCTGTCAGTGTGTCTGCCTCTCTCTCCTTACCCCGCCCTTCCCTCCATCCCCCTCTGCTGTCACAGAGCAGACTGGGCAGGTTATAAATAGTGGTGCAACCACCCTGAATCTCTGTTGTCGTCAAGGATGGTTTTCCTCTCCCCTTCCGTGTGATCGTCTATGCCAAAGCCATGCTGGGATTTCAGCAATCAAAGCACCACTAAACTGTGACGGAAAATTCCCTCGCGCGTTTCTGCGTCTCATTTTATGGCTCAAGGAATGCTGGTCTGTGTTTCTGCTTGAAAAAATAATGCTGAACACAGAGATCATTCATGCTGCTCTTTGCCAGACAGCGTTTATGAAGTCCGGTTGGGGTCTGTTTACAACAAATAGCATTACATTACAGTGCACGTAGAGAGGGTCCAACCCAGAACTGTTAACAGCTCTCATGGAGCTGGAGTCCTTTTAAAAACAAAACTAAATTTACAGCCACATTTTGTTTGGCAGCTATACCCAAAACTTCTTCCACATCCATCTTCATTTTAAATAGGGAAGTTTGAAGTCTTATGTGTGACTTTTTATGTGACAAATGTATTTAATTTGTTAGTCAAATGGGAAATTATGGCAGAGCTGATTTGCTTTGAGACTTCTCAGGCACTTTTCCTGTTTCCCATGTTGGTTTTGCAGTTCTCACCTGGCTAGTTACCTCCAATCCTTTCCATTTATGAGTATTTCAGCATTAAAGCAGCATCGCCTTCTTCTTTAAAACACCAGTGGATTATCCTCAAAGCACATCTTTTTAAAACTCTCACACTTTGTTGATGTATTCTAATAACCTAAGACTTGGTTTTCTTTTTGAGTGCATATTGTGTCATATGAATGCAAAAACTTAATTTTGAAATATTTTGGCCAATATGTTCCAGGCTGTAAAACATATCTGCTAAACATGCCTGCACTGGAGGAAAATGTAACTCCAGCTGTGCAGAATACATTCTACAATATTTTTTCTTATTTAAAATTACACAATAGTGATGCTTGAATGTTGTCTTTCCTCAATTTGTGAAGGAATTTTCTCAGCTTTATTGGAGATATGTCAATTTTCCTTTTCCATTGTTACCAGAAAAAACATTCCCAGTGGAAAATGATGAATAAAGTGAGTTTAAAACCGAGCTGGTCCTCAAATTCCCTGCTAGTAGCAGCAAGTATTAAATATCTGTTATCTGTAAATATTTAGTGCGGCTTTGGATTTACCTCAGCGCACCATTACTCTCAGTAAGAGTCACCAGCTTGAGCTTTTGAAAACATTTACACACAGACCATAAAAACTCTAACGAGGATGATTCTAGAAGATCCCTCTCTGGTATGCAACTGAAATCAAGTGTGCTGATAGAAAACAGACCACTGCTGTGCAGCATCCAAAGTCACCAGTTGGTGGAGGCTGTAGTCAGCTGACAGTGTCCATAACCTCAGCCCCAGACCTCAGCCTGGGCTGAAATGCTTACATCATCTCTTCTCCCCTCCCCTCCCATGTCTCCCGTTTTAGATGTGTGTGGTAAGCACTGCACAACAAACAACATTTTCAGGGTCTTAAGGTGTTCATTTTAAAACATGGTAAAAACAACAATATAGATATTTTTAGCAATGGACTCACGAATCCCCCAGATTTTTATTTGAATTATATTACAAAGAGAACTCGTAGAGAAGTCCCTACTGTGATGGATTTTACAATTTGAAGGTATATCTTCCGTCAAACCGCTGCACACTGATGGTAAAAGCCTTAGACTTTGGGGTTGTGAGTGCTGATACAGCTGGCGGTATTTTCTCTTTGTGTGGAGGACAGGCGGCTCCAAGTCTTGCAGCCTGGTGGTTTTCTGTGAACCTTCCACTGCTAGGTACAGCGCCTTCAGGAGACAGAGAAAGAGCGGGAGAAAACACAAGGGAGGGAGGGAATGAGGGAGGGAGCAAGGGAGAGCTCCTTGTGGTTGTCATGGCAGCAGGGAAATGCACCCTGGGATCGTGCGTTTCCAAGGTGAAGCGGGATGCTCATGGTCTATTGGTCAGCTTCAGGCAGGCCAACTCGTCGACTTGATCCTAATTGGCTGCATCAGTGAAATTCGGAGCAACATTAAATCCTCCCTGCTTTGATGTTCAAACGCGATAAGGACAAAAGAGGGAAAAATGATCTGCTCTGCATGCGTTGCGTGTTTAAGGAAGCATTCATGAGAACTATAATGCATTCCAACCACTCTGCAATCAGGGGAGTCTTAGATTGCTACTCCACTGCTTTTAAACGTGTTTGTTCTGTTGTGCATTTTGTTGTTGTCTCAGGGAGAGCATCATCAACAAATCAAGCTGTTGTGAAATAAGGCCGCTCCGCTGCGCCCTGCATTAAAAACAAGGTCTGATAATGAATGTATACTTATGCGTTGACAAATATGCCCGCATAATCATATGCAGATGTCTGCTCTTTTTTCCTCCGCAACAAAGGGCTGTATTGATGGTGCACGTTCTTCCTCTATTGTCTGGCCTAATGTTGGGAGGTGAGCGTGTGAGCCCTGGTGGCAGAAGAAAGCAGAGAGCAGCACTCTGTAAAGTAGGACAGTGCAGGATAAAGGGCCACTGCCTGCAGTCTGGGGCTAAAGTGCTAAATTTATCCTCCCCCTGCTCCCAGCACAACACAAACACAGAGGGAGACGGACGCACAAACATGCTCGTCAACAATCGTCATGCAAGGCAGTCCGCATCGCGGGCGGTCAAAGTGATTTGACTCGAGCCGCCGGTGTAACGCACAAAGAAATGCAGTCAAGAGAAACTGTCGACATAACACGTAGGGTGCAACTGTGCAAACAAACTGCTCACGCTGATGTAGACATGCAGGACAACTCTGCACCACTAAAAGCCCTGTCCCTGCCTCTCACACCCCTGCCCCGTGCTTTAGCTCATACTTCACTGGTGTCTCTAGCAACATGAACTCTGGGGAGACGCGGCTGTAGGACCATGTGACCCGGCGCTCTGGATATATCATGTTGCCGGAGAGATCCTCTATAGAAGATAAATATGGCTCTTAAAGGAAAATCCCAATAACTTGAATTGGTGTGATTCGTAGACTAAAACATTGCACAGTGAGGAATTATTTACGTTTTTACTATTTCTTTCTAATTTAAGGCAAAGTGTTTTGCAGCTCTAGCTCGATCTGGAGCAGTCAGCTATTTATAACCATGTATGTAAGT